CGCCGCCGCACACCAGCGGACGGGGGTGGGGGTGGGGGGGTGGGGGGGGGGAGAGCTGAGGAGCTGCGTGCATCTGCTATCGCTGGTTTTCCCGCACTCGTGTGTAAAGCTCCAGGTGCCTCCGTGCCCTCTGCTTTCTCTCCCTGCCTTTCTGCGGGGCTTCTCTCCAGGGATTGCCAGGGGGACTCGAGCCCTCGCTCCCTGCCTGCGCCTTCTTTTGAACGACCACTCCAACCTCCAAAACCCTGTGTTTTTGTTTTAAACAGCAGCGCCGGGTAGGAGAAGAGGAAGACAAACATACAGCCGATTCCAGACTCTAGAGCTGGAAAAGGAGTTCCTCTTTAACCCCTATCTGACCAGGAAGCGGAGGATCGAGGTGTCCCACGCACTAGGACTCACCGAGAGGCAGGTAAAGATCTGGTTTCAGAACAGGAGGATGAAATGGAAAAAAGAAAACAACAAGGACAAATTCCCCGCTTCCAGACAGGAGGGAAAGGAAGGGGAGGCCAAAAAGGAAGCACATGATCTGGAAGAAGACAGAGCTGAGGGCCAGACGAATTAAATTTTGCCCTAAAAGCCTTTGTGAAAGGCTATAAAAAATAACCAGCGCCATAGCCCGACATCTCGGCCCGTCTCCCCTTGTACGTGGTCCCGCCGTGGGACGAGTGAACCCGTGTCCCTCCGCTTGACATTTCTCTGCTTCGGGTGCTTCACTTGTTTGTGGTTTTGTTTTGTTTTGTTTTGTTTTTAACCGTATCCGGAACAATCTCTAGATTTAACAGTTCATCTACTTCTTTTGGAAATTTGATACAGAGTTTGTAGCAATACGTGTCTAATGATATATATAAATACATATTTTTTTGCAATCTTAAAAGACGGTGATTGCGGGAAACGACATAAACTTCCTAATAATAAATACTGATAAGCAAGACATTTAACAATGCTTTATTAATCAAGACAAGTGCACTTGTACTATTTTAATTCTTGTTCTTATCTTATGTTAAGTAAATTAAATAAATTTAATAAATTTGAAGAAAAGATCTTAGAAATATATTTAACCTTCTGCTATTGATATTTGATTAAAATAAACCAAATTTATTCAAATATAAAGTGTATCGGCTTCCTGGTATCCTCTTTGTAACCCACTCCTCCAGTAACCTTCAGAGCCTCTCCGCTCCTGGACAAACTCTCTCCTGCGCCTTTCCCCCGTCCTTCCTCCGACGCTGGGTGTTTCTCTGGGATCCGGGAATGGCACATGGGACACAAACCCTCGTTTTCGCTCCCTGCCTCCTGCACACCCTGTCACCGCCGCCGACGTTTCGGCGCCCGCCAGCCTTGGGCTCTGCGAGGCCGGGCTCAAACCAG